AAAGGACATAGGGTAAAAAGCAAGCTCTTCTACTTCTTTCTCCAGGCACCCCAGGAACAACCAGTCTCCTAGTATTCACCCACAAATAATAGGATGTTATACTTACCTTTGGTTCCTTTCATTCCTCATTTAACTAGATGCCTTGGAGATAAATCCATGTTGACTCATATAGAACTGCCTTTCAGTAAATTATTTTATACTTCAATATTATATACATACAGAAAATGCATTTACACTAAGTGCACAGTTGGATACATTTTCCCAAATGGAACACACTCATATAACCAGTACCCTGAGCAAGAAACCAACATGGCCCAGCTGCTGCAAACACTGGGTAATGCAAATACTGGGCAAGGCTGGAAGCTACATGGTCAGTTGAAGGTTCTGATCTCTGGGTTGTCTTGAAAACGTACTGGGGGGAACCAGCAGTTAGCGTAATGGCTATATTGCTGGATTCCCACGTAGTCAACCGCGGTTCGTGTCCCGGACCCAGTGGCTTAGAACTCACGCCGGGTGCGTGTGCGTGTGTGCCCAAGATCCCGAGAGGAGAATGGAGGAGAAGGGATTGCGGCGTGACCATCCCCCCTGGGGGGTGATTTCTCGCTTTCTGTCTCTATGTCTCTCTGTCTGTCTGGCGAGCGCACGCGCCCTATAGCAAAAACCTCTCCAAAACAAAACAAAACAAAAACATGCTGGGCAAGTGCAGAAGAACCCATGATCCTGAGGAAAGGGGATTGCATTGATGAGACCCTGTTGATGGTGCTTCTCTCTTTCTCTTTCTCTGACTCTCAGGGAGGAAGGAAGAGAATATGACCAGCATTACCAGTTCCCAAGAAAGTCCCTGTCATGCTTCTTTCCAGACATTACTCATCACTTCACAAAGGGTAACTACTCTCCTGACGTCTTAACAGACTAGCTTAGTTGTACCTATTTATGTAATCAATAGTTTAAATTTTATATTTATTTATTTAGCTATAGGGCATGTATGCTAGCCGGAGAGAGAGACAGAGATATAGAAAGCGAGAAATCACCCCCCAGGGGGGATGGTCACACTGCAATCCCTTCTCCATTCTTCTCTCAGGATTTTGGGCATGCACGCACACAAGCCCAGCATGTTTTTCAAGCCACCAGGTCTGGAACTCGAACCACACAGTCGGCCAAATGGGGTCCAGCCATCCTAACCACCATGCCTTCTGTTGGCCTTTACTTTAGTTTTCTTAAATGTTTTTATTTCTTCCAAGAGAGACAAGAGAGAGACAGACAGCACCCTCAACAGAGTCTTGGCACCATGACCTACCCTCACGCTCAGTCAGCCCTGGATCATAAGAGGATGTATGCTCAATGGATGTAGGGAGGTTTCTGGTTGTGAACCCAGAACCTTTCCATGAGGGTGAGCCTCCCAGAGCATCATGTTTTACCACTACACCACTGTTCAACCTCCCGTTTGTGTAGTTTTACGAAAAGAATCACGCTGCATGCATTTTTGTACCTGGCACATTTTGCTGACCGTTATGCCTGTGGGAGTCATCTATGTCATGAATTTCAGCTGACACTTCATGGCATCTTCGGATGTCAGTGCCTTCACTGCTGTGCTGAGCCCACCCCCTCCGGCTCGAGGTCCCACGTGTCATACATACATTCTCTCAATCTTGCTCTCACAACCCTTGACTTTCTTAAAGGCTTTGTAAATGCCTTTAAGTGTCCTCACATGGCCACAATGCACCTGCAGATGTATCTGATGATGAAAACCAGCAGCCCTGGCTCGAGATTTGTGTAGAAAGCTAACGTCGGAGTGAGGAGAGGGAAGTGAAGAAGGGCAGCAGCCTGCCTTCCTTTCTGATCAGCATCTGTGCAGCCACAGCTCAATAAGACATGCTTTTTGAGGCCTCATCCACTTAGCCAGGAATTCAAATCCCCAATTCCCTGAACATGAGGAGTCATGACAAAGCACTGGTTTGCATTCCCTTTGCAAATGTTACTTTTAAAGTTGAGTCAAAACTACTTTCAAATAAAGAGCAAAGCAGCTTTAACTAATATCAGCAAAAGGCCTAGGAAAAGATGTGGCTAATGTATTCCATCTGTTTGCTTTCTTATGCCCTAAGACTCAGGACCAAATACCAGCGTGGGAGTTGTAACTCACAGGGCGGGAACAAGGTACCAACACTGTGTCCACGATCCACTTTAAGTTGGCTACTTATGACTTTGAAATTCCAACCTTCAGATTGGTCCCCACCCTCACCCCCAACCCTAGTCTGGCAAAGACAGGAGTATCTAGTTCCAAATAAGAGCTGTTAAGCCACTGAACCAATCTCTATATTTGTGTGGGGTCCAATCGTCACAACTATGATTGGCTCAACAGGCAACACGCAGGGCTACATTCTTGTGGTTCATCTCTCCAAGCACCACACACTGCCTGCACTGGGTCCAGCAACAGAGGATGAGACAAAGAATGTGTCCTATGGCACTGTATTTTACCAGAATTAATACTGTTCTTCTTGCTTTGGCCCATTGCATTCCTACTCTCCACATGGGCCTTCTTTTAGAAGACCTTGTCCCACAGGCTCCCAAACACCTCTTCTCTATTTTCCTGCCAATCTGTATCAAACAATGATAGTGGCTTCCAGAAATCCCTTTGGGGGGGGGAGGGGAGAGGTTTTTCCTAGAGGGCGCATGCACTCGCCAGACAGACAGAGAGAGACAGAGAGACAGAAAGTGAAAAATCACCCTCCAGGGGAGATGGCCACGCCGCAATCCCTTCTCCTCCATTCTCTTCTCAGAATCTTGGGCATGCACGCACACACACCCCCGGCGTGAGTTTAAGCCACCAGGTCTGGGATTCGAACTGTGGTCAACTATGTGGGAGTCCAGCGACATAGCCATTACGCTAACTGCTGGTCCCCAGAAATCCCTTAGAACTGATCATGATTTCATTTTTTTATTCTCGCAGCTAATAAACTATAGAAAACCCAAGATACTCCAAAATTAATCTCTGGCTTTTACTTGCAATGTGGAATGAGAGAAAAGGAAGACAACACAGAAAAAGAATAGTAAGGAGCTTAGGGGGCAAGTTCAAAAGGAACCTTATCTAAGTTCAGAAAGGATTTTCCATTAAAATGTTTAGAACAGTTTTGCTTGATGAGTAGCAGAGTACTGTTGAGCTATGTTACTTTTTAAAGATTTTTCAATCTGGCATCTATTGAAAGTTTTCTTTTACATTTTTGCAATAGAGCTTGTTAGCTTGTTGGAGAGAGACGGAGAAGAAAGAGAAAATGAGTATCACCCCCTAGGGGGATGGCCATGCTACAATCCCTTCTCCTCCGTTCTCCTCTTGAGATTTTCGGCATGCACACACACTCTTGGCTTGTTATGTAAGCCACCCAGTCCAGGATTCAAACCACAAAGTCAACCATGTGGGATGCAATGCCTTAACCACCACACCACCTGTTAGCCCCAAGGACAGAGACACATGTGCTCTCCAGACAAAGACATAGAGAAAAAGAGATATGTGGCCAGTTCTGAAAGGGGTTTTATACCATTTGTAAACAAGAGGAAAGAGATCACACAGGGAGAGACCATGCACTCCCACAGCCAGTCCGGGGTGGACAGAGACTGCCAGGACCAGAGCCAATTCTCAGTCCGTATCACCATGGGCTGCTCTCTCTCTGGCCCAGGAACTTCTTGGATAACTAACTACCACTCTATTCAGTGTTGTTACATGCATTTATCTCACATTTCTTCCTGGAAACTTCTCTAAGAAGAGAATAGAAATACCATAAAGAAGGCTCTCTCTGGGGCACACAAGCTCAGCTGGCTGGAATCTGAAGAGGGTAAAGAAATGGAATGTTAATCCGGAATGACTGAATGGAAGATAAGCAAACATCAGGTGACAGAGCAAACACATAGGAAATATGACCTTCCTACCCTGGGAAAGGTTAGTGTTACCGAAATAAACATTAAATGGAAAGAGGTTCTTGTTGACTTTGGGGTTTCAAACCCACGTCCGAGCAAAAGATTCATTCAGTCTTGGTTTCTGGAAGAAGAGTGTAGAGTGCAAATACTGAGGATTTTATAGCTGGAAGAAAGGCTGTAGACTTCCTGTGAATAGAAGTTCCAAGAGTCAACAGTAGCTGGCAGCAGATAACCTCTCCAGGCTCCAGGATAGCAGAACCCTTGATTGTTAGTGCAAAGGCATCTTAGAGACAGCCAGGGCCAAACCCTTCGCTTTTCAGATGAGGAAACCGAGATCCAGAAAGCACTGAGTTTGCACAACTGGTTAATGGCAAAGCTGAGAGAAGAGCCACAGTGAGTTGACGTTCATTCCCACTCTTCTGCCAATGTGTATCCCAAGAACAAAATAGTTAGGGGACAGAAAAAAGTCATTAGTAATCCTATCTCTAGACATATAGTTAATTAATATCATTTGCTAGCAAAACATGTTGATGTCCTAAATATGAGAGGCAATATCCATTGCATGAAATACCAGAACTAATGAATTGACTGGAACATTAGACATTTATGGAAGACTTTTTCTTTAAGAGAGATTTTTGTTATAGGACATGTATGCTCACCAGAGAGACAGAGAGACAGAAAGAGAGGAAAGCACCCCCCAAGGGGAAGGCCACACTGCAATTCCTTCTCCATTTTCCTCTTGGGATTTTGGTTATGCATGCACATGTGCCTAGTCTGAGTTTCAAGTGCTGGGTCCAGGACTTGAACTGTGGTCAACTACATGGGAGTCCAGTGAGGTAACCATTACACCATCTACTAGTCCCCAAGTTTAGGATTTTACGTGTTTGTGTGTGTATCTTACACCACTAATTTCCTGTGAAAACATATACCTTGATCATTTTGCCAGAAAAATAGAAACTTCAAAAACCAAACTTCAATTGCAATATACACAAATGGAAGACAAAGTTATGTAGCTTATAGCTTAAAAACACAATTGTCTAGGCTCCCCCTACCCTGACTTTTCATTGTTTATTCATTATTACAGAATGAGTTGAGTCACAATGAAGGTGATGAAGAAGCAGAAGCAAAGACAGGTCCATTCAATAAGCATAACGCCCGCCCTCACAGGGTGAGGAACAGTTGGCCCAGCTGTGGAGTCTCTGAGCTGGAGCAAGGCAGAAGGGCATGCCCAGGAAAAGCATGGTGAGCTGGTATATTTTAGATGCTTATTTCTGGGATGTCTTCAAGGGGCTAAGAGAAACCAGAACATCAGGTTAAGAGAGGACACAGGCCATTACCTACATTGTTCTCTAATATAGGTTAGAACATAAATGGTCTAGAATACTGAAAGACAGTTTGTATTCTAGTTAAGACAGGTGAATGACACATAGTCATGGCCAGTTAGGTCTAGGAGGGCCTTGAAGTTACCTCTTCCAGCATCCTCATTTTCCGGATGAGAAAAGAGAGACCTAGATAGATTCAGGAACTTGATTAAGATTAGCATAAGTGGGGCCAGCAGATGGTATAGTGGTTATGTTGCTGGACTCCCACATGACTGGTTCAAGTCTCAGACCCAGTGACTTGAGTGTCACGCTAGGCACATGTGTGTGTATATGCCCCAAATCCAGAGAGGAGAATGGAGGAGAATGGATTGTGGCATGGCCATTCCCCCAGCGGGTGATTTCTCACTTTTTGTCTCTCCAGTGAAAGCATGTGTCCCATAGCAAAAATATCTCTAAAAAAACCCAAACAAACAAAAAAACCCACAAAGATTAGCATAAGCTCCCAAAGTGTGTTTTGCCAACCACTAGAGTGTGTACTGCTGGGGTGGCTTTGTGAGATGGGGAGGAAGTCTAACAAGTTTTGAAACTTTCAAAATGCAAATGACACAAAAGTGTTTGCAGAGTATGTCACTGGCAGATTTTAACCTAGAGGAATTAATTTGAAAATGAAGATTTAAAAATGCTATAAATATAACAATTATCCAGTCCTCCAAAAGTATTCATTCAAAGTAGGTGAGCATTTTAGAGCTGGGCCTTTGTCCTCCCTACTAGAACTGGATCACTGCTGGCTACATGGGAGTGGGAGGGCCACAGAACCAGCTGCTGAGAGGCCATAGAGCTGTACCTGGCAAATGTCAAATTCCTGTGCAACTTCGTCTTTGTGGTGGGGCATTGGGTGAATAACCTTTGTTTCCTTGATGGCTGAGTCTATCCTTTCCTGTTTTCGTCCAGTCTGATGACAACTGTCCACATGACCCAGCACCAAGCACTCTTGGCCAGTGCCAAGCATCTTTGGCTTCCCCAAATTGCTCTAAGACTCAAGGCCCAAACAGTAGCACAATCTCCAGAGCATTTTCCTTTGGCCAGGCCAGAGCACATTTCTGAACATTTTTAGACCATTTGAAGAATGAGCCCAAATCCTTGGAGCCTAATTGAGACTGTTACTGCTGATGCTGTGAAACAGCGTCTACCATGCATGAGTGCTTACTACGCACTGTGATCAAAACCTGTCATCTTCTTTCCATCTTAATAAGAGCGATGCACAGTAGAGGTTGTAGTTCCTGACTTCAGAGATGGGAGGCAAAGGTCAGCCACGGGGGACAGCAGCTGGCATGATGGTGAAGGCAGCTGGACTCCACATGGCCAACTCTGCTGTTCAAGTCCAAACCTCGTGGCTTGAAAAATATGCTAGGTGCATGTGGACATGTGCCCAAAATCCCAAGAGAATGGAGGAGAAGAGACTGCAGTGTGGCCATCTCTCCTGGGGGGTGAATTCTCACTTTCCCCTCTCTTTCTGTCTCTCTTTGGCAAGAGACTATGGCAAAATCATAAAAAAGGTCAGCCATGGCCCAGTGACTTGCCCAAAGTCACCTGGCTAGTAAGTGACAAAACTGGATGAAACCCTTGACTCGGACTCTCACACCTCTGCCTCCTTGGCTAGAGCCCAGGAACTCAGCTAGGCTGAGTGGCACCCGTGTACCCGTGTTCCAGATTTCAAGTTATTGTCAAAAGCCTTCTTGATTTCAGTATTTGTTTGGAGACCAGTTTTCTGAAACTTCATGTTTGTTTGTCATGCATACATACATATAATTTCCTTCTATTTCTCTGTAAATTTCCACCAAACAAAACCATATGCACTGCCATAGCAACACTGCAACACAAACATGGTGTAATCTTTGTTCACGGCTTCAAAGTTTTGTTTTGTTTTGTATTGTGTTGTTATTGTTTTTTGTTTTAGATAAAAAGCTACATTTGTATACAGCAGAACTGAATCCCATGGCAACAAACATGCATTAAACTGGGGTTCTTTTCTTTAAATCTTCTCTTAGCAAGGTAATAGTTTCAGAACATCAGAAACTGGGTTGCAACCCTTGTGATTAAGCAGGGCCTTGCTTCGATGACTGATGAGTCTCCAGCCCACACAGGCCCCTGGGACATGATGGCTGCTGCCAGCCCTAATCCAGAGCTATAGATGCTGGTGTTGGACACACGTGGAGATCCTGGAGCGTGCTCTTGACTTGTGGAACTGGAGACCACCTCAGGCCTGGAAGCCAGGTGAGGTCCTTGCGGGGCACTGAGTACAACCCTTAGCACAGGAACATGCTGGGTGGAGGCGGAGAAAAGGTGGCTCCCAGCCAGGCCGCTCCTGCGCTGGGATGCTGGGAAGCCCCATCCCTGCCATGGTGCGCTTCCCCTGCACGCCTGGGCACGGGGTGAGCTGGTCCCATCTCACCCTCCCAGCAACGCCCCCATGGTGGTATTGCCATCAGTCACATTTTACACACGGAAACCTCCAGCCTCATAATGGTTAGCAACTTGCCCAAACCTACAGGCTAGGAAGGGCGAGTGCAAGGGTTGGAATCCAGGACCCTTCTTGGATTTGTTTCACTCTATTCAGCACAGCTCCTAGCTCTAGGGCACTCTGGAACTTCTCTGTGCCCAGGCTCACTTATTTGAGCTGGTGTGACGATTCCTTTGAGTCCTTGGGTGCAGCTCCTGGAGAAGGATGGGGTTTGGAGGCAACTGCTGCCTTAAGTGATGCAGGGAAAGGCAGGTTTGTTTGTCTGCAGTCCCTGGTTCTTCCCTCTGATTCTCACCTCCTTCCCACAGCCTCAACTTCCTAAGGCTTCCCACGTCCTGACGATGTAAAGGCACTGAAGGAAGACATTCTCAAGCTACTGGCCATTGGGATGGTGCTTGATTTCCTCCTGTTCCTACCATGGGAGGTCCAGCTGGACTAGCTGAAGGGGAGGAGGGATTCCACTCGGGCTCACCATCATGAACAGAGTGGTCACGAACCCAGAGAAACTTGTCATTGTCACCAGAAATGCTACTTGGCTGCTTCCTTCCTGAACTTGGGCTGAGGTACCTAACAGCCTACTGAGGTGGGTGGGGAGGGAGGTTGAAGGACAGTCAAGTAGTGATAACAAGAAGTCAGGCACTCTGAGAAGCTCTTCCTCACACTGTCTCTTGCCAGTCCAGGAGGCAGATGGGATTATTATTCTCTTTTAGCATATGAGAGACTCAAAGCTTTAAGGGGCCACTCATCCTGTCCAAGATGTACAGTAGCATTCAGGGTTTCGGGCTCTAGAGCCTGTCAGGAATGATTTCTCCATAGACTGTGGTGAGGGCCACTCAATACAGGAACTCTAATAAGATCATGCCAGACGGACTGAATTATTCCTCAGACGCTCAGGCAGACTTGAACTAGCTTTAAGCTTCGGAGTGTGAGAGGAGTGGGAACACCCCCTGCTTCCTTGTCCAAACTCAAAGAGGGGATCCAAGGTTCAGTCAGGAAAGCTCTTTGTTTAATCAATTGTTTTTTGTTTTCAGGACTGAAATGGAAATGACCCAGTAAGGAAGGAAAATGAGCACAGCCTGCCCTAGTCACATAATGAAAATACATACGCTGGCCAAAGGTACATCACTCCTCCACCCATTCCTTCAGAGAGAGAAGGACCCTTTCTGAACCAGGAGTCTATTAAAGCATTCCACTGGGCAAGTCCCTGCCCCTTCTGAAGGGACACTGTGAGAATCCTTGTTCCTTAGAATGCAGCCACACAAAAGGTTTTGTGCAAATACTGAGCCATTATTCTATAAGTGCAAGGAAGCATTAGGGATGGTATGTGAACAAGAACTGGACAGAGGATGCACGCCCAGATGCTGTCTTGGCCAGGTTGCAATTCAAATGATCTAATGTTTTCTGGCTCCTTCTTGCTTTGCTTTTTCCAATTTGGTTTGAATATTTGCATTACTGTATTATTTTCCCTGTACAAATTACTGATGTCTGTACACAATTAGGTCACTTTCATAGTTGGGTGAGGAAACACTTCAAAAGTAAGATGAACTACAGCTGGTAGTGGGCTCTCCCTGGGATATGCATTTAAGTTCCCTTCTTATTGGTCCCAATGACTACCTGCATCCGGGATCTGAAAGACTTCACCTAAGTCATATAACAAAGTGGCAAGAACCAAAACACCCCTTTATAATGGTGGGTAAGCACATCTTGTTTCTTTAAGTTTGGGGTTGATTTGCTGATCTAATCACACTGTTCTTTGGGCCAAATCTAACCTCATACTGTTGTGCTCCAGACAAAAGAAAGGACTGCTTCCTGGAGGCCTGTGGCTTCTTGGTCCATGGAAGTTCTGCTGAAGTAGACTCTGGGAAAGGGGGAAAGAGAGGGAAGGCCAGAGTATGTAGCTATTCAAGCCAATACAGTAACTGGCCTTTGAACAAGGACGTTGAAGGAATGGGATTCCAAAGGAAAAGCAGGCTTATTTTGCAGATGAAAGCTGAGCAGGGCCACAATCACAAAGTGCTCTGCAACCTCGCACCAGTCTCTAATACCTGCCCCCACTAATGTAGCTCTCTCAACTATGGAGAATCTGTGGCCTTTAGGGCAAAACCTGCGGTAAAGTGAACTTTTGTGCTCTCTCTGAAAATAAAGTTGGGCTAAACAAATGTAAAGGACATGCTGCAATGAAAACCACTGGGGAAGCAGTGCCTCATTACCAGGTCACATCCTGCTCTTCAATACCCCGTTACAGCAGCAGCTCTTTGTGGCCTTTCCTGCCTGTTGTTTCTTGCTGGCCTCCTCTTTTGGTACCTGAGATCTGAATTTATGACAGTGACTGTGCTTCTCCTCTCTTCTCTTTTTATCCAGATCATTCATTTATCATTTAGTCAACAGATACCGAACACCTTCTATGTGTCAAGATACTGGTGTTTTAACAAATGAACACGGAATATCTGCTGTTGGGGAGCTCATGTCTGATGGGAAACACTGACAAAGTGTGGTGGACATTATGTACTGAAATTATATTGAAATTATACTACCTGCAGGATCTGGGAAACCTATATCCAAGCAGAAGTGATGGCTGAACAGTGAGGCAGCTAAGGCTGAGAGAAATGGATCACCTTCTCCAAATTCTCTCAGGTGGCTGATGACAGGCTTGGAACTGGAGAAATCAGTCAGGAGTAAAATCCTGACTTCCTGCAACCACCTCCTTCCTGAGGCTTCCTGGAGCCCGACAGTTGGTGTTTTCTTCTCTAGCTCTTGCTCATCCAGTATGAATAGTTGATTTTTGCTCTTTCCTGCACTGATCCATTTTTACCTCAGTAGAATTCACATTTATCCCTAAAGCCAGACATCCTCCCTATTTCCCTCTGAGGATTGACATCCAGATAAACTGAGCTGATAGATAACTGTGCTTTGACAGTCATACTGTAACACAGATCTCAGTACAGACACTGCTGTCTAAGTAACATACTAATTCAGACAGTGAAGGGAACAATCACTAATCAATACTAGGCTCTGTGGGGGTGAGGGATGTATTCATGTACAGCACAGCCCATCCCTAAGGACATTCGTGGAAAATGGGTGATACAAGGTTAAAGACGGAAGAAAGCAAGAGTTTACATCACTTATGGAGGAAATGTCCTCTCCGAACCCTGTCTGTTCAAGCACAACATATTAATAGCATAATATTAATGATGGCTCAACCATTTGATTTTATATCCAGGCACTGTCGGTTACTTTCTTTATGACTCTGGGCAAACTGCTCAAATTTTCTGATGATGGAAAAACTCAGTTGTGATAGGGTGCACAGATGGGGCACCTCAGTTGTGAGATCGGAATGGTAAGAATAGTACTGATTTCATGCTTCACTGTGAGGATAAGATAGATAACCATACATATAAAGTACTTGCCACAGTGGCTGCTCCAGAGGAAGCAGTGATTAAATATTAGGCTTATGATTCTTATCCAGTTCCAACCCTTTTCTGTCTGCAAATCCTTCCCAGATCTCCCATCAGAACTCATCTCTTTACTTCTGTATCCTCATATCAATATGGGTATGCCTCCCATCACATTCTGGACCTGGGTGTTAGTTTCTGGCACAGAAAAAAAAAAACAAACAATCAATAAATGTTGATGGTTGGATGAGCAGATGTTTTTGTCTCCCAGGAATAAATCACATGCTTTTAGAAGGTAGTGGAACTGATGATCTCCAACTTAAACAATGATGCAACTGATGATTTATCTACTTATGATTAGCTTATCAAGATGTAATCCCATCAGAAGTCAAGAAGCATCTGCATGTGTTTCTAGCTGAAATGTAGATAAAACACCTGTACATTCTAGATAAAATATAACAACATACTTTCAAATGCAAAGCCAAACTCTCATGTAAGACAAAAAAAAAGCCTCCATGGGAATGTGTGTGCACACACACACTCACATAAGACATCACACTCACACCCACACCCCCCCACACACACACACGAGAGAGAGAGAGAGAGAGAGAGAGAGGGAGAGACAGAGAAAGAGACAGAGACTAGAATTGAGAATGGTAAACTGCCACTAAAGTCTTGCTGCTTTGGGAAGTCTATCTCACTAATGTTAAGGCTGGGCTATAAGAGGATTATGGAGGACAGGAGACAAGACTTAGTCTTCAAAAGATGGAGGGTTGAAAGTGAGACCCATGCATAATAATGAAACTTGCAAAATGATATGTACTCAGCAAACAAGTAGACTAGGAAATAAAACCCTTGTTTATCTGCAATGAAGAAGACAAGGAAACTTAACTGTCTTGGCCTGAGCTCATATCATCATTTCTATTAAAAAAATTAATTAATCACAGATTTCCCATCACACAGGATGAAGGTTTGAATTTATACCACCTGTATGAGCTAGGAAACCCCAGCTGAAAAATTAGTTTAAATTGGTCCCAGGTTGATAGCATCCCAGAGCACCCGGCAGAAGATCTTCTTTGAGGGAAAGCTGTGCTCGTAGAAGTCTAATGAAAGACTTACGGAACATGAGAGTGCAATATGAAATCACAAAGTACATTAGGAAATAAATACCACATGTGAGAACTAGCAGAAATCACAGTGAATTAGATCTTTTTCTTACAACACAAACCCATTTTTATTCATTTATTTTAAATCCTTGAGGGGTACAGCATCACACGGATTCTGTGTCCAGTGGTCTTAGCAGGAAGGTTGCTTCGGAATTTGGCTCGAACCATGCCACTGTTGCCATGGGCACAGGTAACCTTTCCCCAGATTACTCTGGTTTTATTTGATTTGCCACCAGGAGTCACTGTGTTGTTTTCGGCTTTGTACACATAAGCACACCTCTTGCCTAAATAGAACTCCGTTTCATCTCGTGCATAAACACCTTCAGTTTTAAGAAGAGCTGTGTGCTCCCTTTGTTTCCTGAGACCCTGCTAATAGCCAGCAAAAACGGCCTTGGACCACAGCCTTCCAGACATAGTGGCCATTTAGAAGTCTGTTCCCAGCAGGCCTTGATTATTGTCCCCAGAGTTCAGCAGCAGGATCCTCACTCACCTCACAGTGAAGTAAATCTTATACCACAGTTATCATGTATAAAACCTTTTAAACGTTTAAAGAAATAAAGGAAGAATCAAAAACATGGGAATAAATTAAATATAATCTAAAAAGGCCAGGAAGAATTGAGATAGTATTTTTAGAAAGTTGAATCTATCTATCTATAATATATATAATTACTGAAGTTAAAAACATAGTGAATGAGTAAAAGTAAAGTAGATACAGGTAAAGAGAGAATTAGGGATCTAGGAGATCCTCTGAAAAAATTAGGATAAACAAAAAATAAATAAAATACAAAGGGTGGTGGAACTGCCATCTTTCAGTAATTCCCCAAAATGATGAACGCAGGGACCAGCAGTTAGTGTAATGGTTATGTTGCTGAACTCCCATGTAGTCGACTGTGATTTGAGTCCTAGACCCAGTGGATTAAACTCAGGCTGGGTGCATGTGCGTGTGTGCCCAAGATCCCAAGAGGAGAATGGAGGAGAAGGGACTGTGGCATGGCCATCCCCCCTGAGGGGTGATTTCTCGCATTCTATCTCTCTGTCCCTCTCTGTCTTTCTGGCGAGCGCATGCACCCTATAGCAAGAACCTCTCCCCACCCCACCCCCCAAAATGACAAACACAAGGGGAAAGAAGAGAGGCACCAATACATGTTCTCTAGGCCTTTTAGAAAACATGGAATTATGCCTTTGGCAACATATGTGCAAATCTATGAGAAAGGTGGTATTACAGCCACCAAGGGAATGGGCACTGTTCAGAAGGAAACACCCCACAAATGTTACCATGGCAAAGCTGGAAGAGTATGCAGTGTTACCCAGCATGTTGCTGGCATCTCACAAAAAAGAAGTTAAGAATAAGATTCTTATCAAGAGAACTAATGTATTGAGCATATCAAACAGTCTAACAGAAGAAATAGTGCCCTAAAACATGTTAAGGAAAAAGAAGGAAGTCAAAGAGAAATATACCTGGGTTCAACTGAAGCGCCAGTTGCTCCACCAAGAAAAAACTGAGAAAGTATAGTATTTTTAGAAAGAAGCACTTTTTTTTTTTTTTTAATTTAATTTTTTTAAGAGAAGCACACTTGGGACCAGCAGGTGGTGTGGTGATTAAGGCGCTGGACACTCCCACATGGCCATCCATGTTTCAAGTCCTGGAACTGGTGGCTTGCTTTCTCACTTTCCCTCTCTCTCTTTCTCATTCTGTGTGTGTGTGTGTGTGTGTGTCTCTCTCTGGTCAAATTAAAAATAAATGAATGAATAAATAAATTGAAAACTATTAAAAGAAAAAAAAGAGAGAAGCACACTTTATGAGGACCAATGGAAGGAGCCTGAGCTTCTGGGACCTATTCCCTATGAATGCATGAACTAATAGGTGTTAAAAATAAATAAAGAGGGGCTTCAGGTGGTTAAGGTGCTGGGCTCCCACATGGCCGACTGAGGTTCAAGTCCCGGACGTGGGAACTTGCTTTCTCACTTCCTGTCTCTGGTTAAATTAAAATAATAATAATAAATGAAATAAAATAATTATTTAAAAGTAAAAAGAACTCTGGACTAAAATAAAATGTGGAGGGGTGCAAATAAGTGAGAAAGTGGTCAAGGGGGAAAAAAAACAGAATGTAAGAAAGGCAATATTTAGAGAAAATGGCTAAAATGTTCCAGGATGTGTTTAACAGTTAAAGCACTTGGCAAATGCTCAGTACACAGTAAGTGCCCAGTAAACATTCACTGAGTTAAAGACACAGGTACTCTAGCATTTGCCTGTCCTTTACTTCACACATTTATTTTAAAAGTATCAGAGATATTTTGAATAAAATAAAACTCTCGTCTTCATTGAGTTTGTATTCTGAATGAAGGTGACAAGTGAAAACATTAATACTTTAGATGCTTTAAGGTTATAAATGCTATGGCAGATTAAAAAAAGGCCACTTAATAGCATTATAGTGAAGAAGGGAAGCCTCCATAAGTGTAAGTATTCCAGGTAAAGATAGAGCAAGCCCTGGGATCAGCAGTTAGCGTAATGACTATGTCGCTGAACTCCCATGTAGTTGGCTGCGGTTCGAGCCCTGGACCCGGTGGCTTAAACTCACACCGGACGCGTGTGCGTGCATGCCCAAGATCCTGAGAGGAGAATGTAGGAGAAGGGATTTTGGCATGGCTATCCCCCTCTGGGGGTGATTTCTCACTTTCTGTCTCTCTGTCTTTCTAGTGAGCGCACACGCCCTTATAGCAAAAACCTCTCCAAAAAGAAGAAAAAATACAGCAAGCCCTGAGTGAAAAATCACTTGGCATTTTCTTTATAATTATTTCACTTTATTATTACTATTATTTTAATTTGATCAGAGAGTGAGCAAGAGAGAGGGTGAGTGGGGAAGCAAGCCACAAGGTCCACTGCTCCAATTGCAACCAGCCGTGTTGGAGTCCGGTGCGTTATCCACACACTACCTGTTGGCCCCACCCCTTGGCATTTTTGAGGAAAAAGGCCAGCGAGGCTGAAGCTCAGTGACATGGAGAGTGGTACAACTTGAGGTACAAAAGATGGGCAAGAACGGGGGTGGTTTTGTTTGTTTTTTAATTTTTATTTCTAAGAACAGCAGAAAGTTACTGGAGGATTTTAGGCACAGGAGTGACGTGCTCTATGGCACCACCCACTCTGTGGTAATGGACTTAGTTGGGAGCTAAAGGGAAGCAGGGAGCCTGGTCAGTGATTTCAGTTGCCCAGGGATCTTGGACTAACATGACAGCTGTGAGTAAGAGAGAAGAGGATGAATACAGATATGTTTGGAAGTAGAAACAATGTATTTGAAGTATATGTGAAAGGTGACAAAAGAGAGAGGATGATCTTAGTTTATGGGTTGTGTGAATAGTGGTGCCATTTTTTAAGGTGGAGAAGGGTAAAAGAAAAATACTTGGGTAGGGGTGGAGTGGGAATATGAAGCAGGAGTTCTGTTTAAGGCGTGTTCATCTTGAGATGCCTGTTAGATGTATGAGTCAACAGCTATATATAAGGATGCAGAGGACCTCAAGACAAAGAACCCCAGGCCAAGGACTCCTCCTATGTTGAGACTTGTGTTTCCTTCACGATTTCCATGCAGTGTAGGCTTGAACAGGGGTACATATAGGGGACTGACCACTTTCAACTACAGACTGTGGGGAAAAGATCAGCGTAGCTCCTGAGGTCAGGACACTGCCCGGCACCACGCCCAATCCAAAAGTGAAGCCTGGGTTCTTCTAGGTCTGCCTAGCCCTGATACTTCTGGTATCGGTTTTAAGCCAATGGGTTTTCTGACGGATGCCAAAAGACCAAGTACAGAAAATGACTTGGTGACAAACCCAGGCAGCTCTTGTGTGGGGAAGGGTGGAGAAGTCATCATGTAATCTGGCTCCCACCCACTCCCGCCCACCAGCTGAGAGCATTGTATGCAAGAGATCCAAGGGAGTCAAGAATATGACACATCAGGAGGTACAAAGAAAAAAACGGAGATCCCAGCATGAGGTAATGACCAAAAAAATGCCATAGCCCATTACATAAGCGAAAGTGAAACCCGAGGAACAAATAAACA